TTTGGAAACCTATCCCTATAGTTGATATTATGCTCGTGAGTAAAGCTGTAGTAAATTGTGATGTTTTGCTAATTTTGTAACAGTCAGAGTTCTTATTAACCTGTCATGGCATAATGATAGTAAGTCGACGAAAAACAATTTTTAGGTCATCCTTACACATGCCTTATAAATCTTGATGGGACTGGTATTTTCCGGAAAACTGTTGCTAGGGTGTTTTTTCACTATTGGGCTTACCAAAACCTAACTGAATCCGAGATATACAGACACTGAAGCTAAATAATCACAGTTCGACGGATGGTTTTCTGCATTAGAAGATGGTGTGTAGTGAACGAAAACTCAAATAGGGAAGACTAATTTATTATTTAATGCAAAACTACAAAATCCTTCGTAAAATGTGAAAATCACATATTAAATTACTTTATTTGCAAATCTCCCATCAATTGTCCTTTACATATTTCATGATTTTGCCATTCCTCAATTCCTTTGTCTTTCTGTTTTGTACAGTTCAGTCTTCTCAAACTTCTTTTGACAGGCAATACACTTCTGACCGGTGTTCCATACTACTTAGGTCTGCCGACATAAGTAGTATGAGTCATAGGGTCATATTATTTACTTAATTACACCTGTTACCCTCCGTGGAGGAGCATAGACCATCTATCAGCATTTTCCATCGAACTCTGTCCTGGGTAATCCTTTCATTTGTTATTGGGTAGGTGTTAAGAGGCTTACCAAGGGAGCAATACGTTTCAGTACGGAATTCACTTAAACGTGGATTCTACTGGGAGTAAATAAAGTGAAGTTGATCTGAGTGAAAAAAACTAAGTTAGCTATTGTTGGGGTGATCCAGAAAATTACTTGCAAAAGATAAGCAAGCATCAGGAAACACTAAGAAGCGTTTCATCCGATCAGCGTTCACTTGATTTTTATTTATTTATTTATTTAAACACATAAATATTGGTACAGGAGGGCACCAAATATATATGCGCCACACAAAACAGTGAGAATTTGCAGAGAAGGAAGAAAAAGGTAAGGAGCGTAAAAAAAACGATGACGAACAGATTACTGCAAGGTAGTGTAATAATAATAATGGGGGAAACAGAAACGTACACCCAGAAGAGGTCTTTCAGTTAAGGAAGAAGCAACCACTTTTTATGAAGAAAGTAAAAGAAGGTTACAGCAGGATTGCCACTGGCTTCTATTCTGAGCCATATCTGATAACGTCTCTACTCGAGAACGTTGAGATAGAACCGAATTTCCACCATAGACGAGCTGTTGTATAAGTCGAAAAATAAGGATAGACAGAGTAGGAATAAAAGAGAGTGAATAAATGATGTAGCAAATAATAACAATAGTAATAATAATAATAATGTGAATCGTTTGATTAATAGTTGAAGCAAGAAAAGTATTTTCCATAATTATCGACAGTTCAGCATATTTGTGTGCGGGCTGTGATACTGCTCGGATGCCCAGACCGAAGCAGGTGGTTTTCTTAGGGGGCCACTCCCCGAGCCTTCGACCTGAAGGTCTGATCCACAAGGCAGTGCAGCATCGTGAGGAGATGCCGTCCCATGGTAGCCGGTGACCAATAATTGGTTCATACGCCATTTGTGGTTTCACGATACTGGAGCCCATGTGCACCATTGATTTGGAATCCGGTTAAAGCGCCGGACATTCGCTTTTCTTCCTCTCATTTTCGTAAACAACACCCCCGCCACGAGAAGGCAATGATTAGGACTTCCCTGGCAGAGGCTGTATACGCGTGGCCGTGTGAGAGCATTTCGAGAGGGAAGGCGGGCCCACCCCACTCTCGACCATACCAGGGCATTTTGGGACTCGTTCACTTGAAGTCTTAGCCAAAAATATCAAGGAAACGAAACGTCACATGCAGAGGTTCTGATTGGCTGATTGCTACACTGCTACTATGTTTAGTAGCATCCCAGAATCTTCTGTCAGCCCAAGGACATTTAAAATATTATTAAAATTCTGTATTTTCTGTATTGAAAGGAACCTTGGAGTAAACTACTCGCGTACTTTGCGTCTTCTCTCTCGTGTTCAGGTTGCTGTATAGTTCCAGCTTGGGGGTTAACGAATAGCTTAGGAGATGAATATGGCGTTCAATCCGCAAGACTTATCAGCTATCTAGTTGGTACAATCATGTCTTAAATAAGATTCATTGCCCTTTGCCTAAAACTGAATTTATTTCGGGTCAGACCGTGTGTTTATTTGAAAGGTAATCGTTTGACTGGTTGGTAACATCTTTCTTCTTTCCCTGTCATTTCTATGGGGAATATCATCACCCATTGTTATAGGCAATGTGACCGTTTAATCATATTGTATCACGCTTTGAATTCTACACAAAGACTCATCTCATTTCCTGCAATTCATCCGTTTTGGTTTACTGATTTGTCATATATTTATCCTTCAATGGTACGTTCACTTTTGATTTGTTCACTGTATGTTACTAAACGTGTCATGAAAAATGCCATGATTTTGTCCGATTAGCTTGTGCGGAGGATGAATTTTTCATGTAACCATTTTATGGTATAGACATTATCCTGATAAATCAGTTTCCTCTTTTGATTTTGGTTATCGTTTGCTCAACTTTGTTGTATTTTACTCGACACTACTTTATAGTTTGCAGTAGTTTGATTTATTTTCAACCACTTGCATACATATGACTAATGGATTCTTTCACAATGGGCCACTTGTGCCATTCATCTACAATCTAAGCCCAGAGAACGAAACTCCACGATAATTATCCACCTGAGCTGCAAATCTTCTCCACCATCTCGAAATTCATTTGTACTTTTATTTCAATATTCATTCCTACTTTTGAAGCACTTTCTAAATGTTTTTCATGTCTACACCGCTACTTGAAGGTTTGTTTATATTGAACAGCTAGTCTAATTTTGACATTTAATTTCAGAGTCCACAAATACCCCCAGTTAACAGCCATATAATATATTAGGGTTCATACTTGACGGTGTAATTCGATTTCAAATGCATTATTTGAAAGATCTAGTGTCTATTTGATTGTGCTTTCGATGGTGTGATCGAGAATTGGACATCAAACAACAAGTAGTAACATATTCTTCTCCAAGTCTTGTAACTTTGATTCTCCTAAAATTCCCATATCAAATGGAGATTGAGTTTAAATACTCGACTAGATTTAATATATTGAAATGACTCAAATTCCTTGATAATAATTTTGACACTAACAATACTATTATATTACTTAACTTACATAAGCTTTAATTCTTGTGTGGCTAACAATAAGGTATTAATTGATTAGAGAATGAGTGATCTACGAAACAATTTCCTCCAACCATGTATGAAATATTACCATGTTTATTTTATGTTGATAATTTTATATCAACATATCATCTCACTGTACGGAGAAAATTAATCTTCTGACTAACGATCTTGTATTTGGTCTCAACTCATTCATAATTGAAGATAATTGTTTGCTAGTGTTCTTTGATTTGACCAGGAATGCCTTGCATCTGCTGGGATCACCGGGTAAGTAATAGTGAGGTTAGACAAAGGGTATTAGGAAATGATCGTAAATTAGTTGACGAGGTCGTGAATCTTCATCGACTGAGATGGTTGGAACACGTATTGCGTATAATTGAACACCGATTACCACAACGCGTAATGCTGATTAATGTTGGAGATGGTTGGAAGAAAGTTAGGGGCTGCCAAACTAAAACGTGGCATCAGTGCTTGAAGTCACTAACTGGTAGTCTGAGCCATGTTGGTAGATACTACTAGACTACTTGGTTGGGGTCTGCGTGACAATCGTAACCAATAGTTGGAGACTGTGTGTGACATGGCTCAGAATCGATCACAGTGGTGTCGGTGTATACACTCTTTGTCCTCCTTTAAACCGTGAGATTAAAATGACTTTATATCTTTATTTCTACAAACCAATTATTTCTTTTGTACTATGTCTTTATATGCAATCTTTCTTTCATATATTACCACCACTGAGTTAACTGCTTCTATGAATCCGGTATTCGTCTCGCTATACTAATGAGGTATGGCAACTTGGTCCGATGCATGTATGTCCCTGGTCCTACTATATAGCTGACTGACTTTCATTTTCGAGTGTATTTTTTGCCAGGAATAAATACTTCGTTGTTCTTTCTTATGATATCCCTAATAACTACTTGCCAAGTATAACTTAGTCAGCACTGTGGAGTTGGTCAAGGATTATGATAAATTTGAAGTGTAATTAATATTGAAAAAAGACAGCATTAGGTATATCTATTTTGTTTATGCATAGAATGAGCTTACATAAATTAGGGTAACTGCATGACAAGTTAGAAAGCTTGAGTTCAATCACAAAAATAATTGTTGGGGAAATCCAAATTATTCGTCGAAGAATTACACAGGGGTCCTGAAAACTCTGGAGAACATTTTTTATTTAATCAACATTGAGTAGACGTTTCTCAGAAACATGTAGCAAGTGAAGAGTCACATGCATATTTCTGATTGGATGATTACCTATTCTGCTATTATATTTAATATGGTTCCATAAACTCACAGAATCCCGAGGCCATCTAAAATGCCAAAAATACCTTCATTTTTCTGTACATAAACTAACTTTTTGTAAAGCGATCTTTTCACGCTTTGCGCTTCCCTCTTGTGTTCACGTTGTACAAATGTAGCCTGTTTTATTAGAAGAGCTTAGGAAACCGATTTACACGTTCAGTCAGAAGATTTACCTGTAAATTTTTTTTGAAAAATATTACTCGAAATATTACTTCATATGATCAATCCTTCAGTACTTCCAAAATCCTAGATATTGCTTCCATGTGACATAATACTTAATAATTTAATAGTTGAATTAATGAGTCGGTTGAAGCTGGTCCACCATGGTAAAGCTGGAAACACCAGACGGCTGTTTCGTCCTGTCACAGGACTCCTCAGCCGTACGCAAATTTGATCCCGCCTCGTGCTTAACCACTAGACAACTTAGCCATAAACCATCGATGTTAATGTGTAAATCAACCAATACTACTACTACTACTACTACTACTACTACTACTACTACTACTACTACTACTACTACTACTACTACTACTACTACTACTACTACTACTACTACTACTACTACTACTACTACTACTACTACTACTACTACTACTACTACTACTACTACTACTACTACTACTACTACTACTACTACTACTACTACTACTACTACTACTACTACTACTACTACTACTACTACTACTACTACTACTACTACTACTACTACTACTACTACTACTACTACTACTACTACTACTACTACTACTACTACTACTACTACTACTACTACTACTACTACTACTACTACTACTACTACTACTACTACTACTACTACTACTACTACTACTACTACTACTACTACTACTACTACTACTACTACTACTACTACTACTACTACTACTACTACTACTACTACTACTACTACTACTACTACTACTACTACTACTACTACTACTACTACTACTACTACTACTACTACTACTACTACTACTACTACTACTACTACTACTACTACTACTACTACTACTACTACTACTACTACTACTACTACTACTACTACTACTACTACTACTACTACTACTACTACTACTACTACTACTACTACTACTACTACTACTACTACTACTACTACTACTACTACTACTACTACTACTACTACTACTACTACTACTACTACTACTACTACTACTACTACTACTACTACTACTACTACTACTACTACTACTACTACTACTACTACTACTACTACTACTACTACTACTACTACTACTACTACTACTACTACTACTACTACTACTACTACTACTACTACTACTACTACTACTACTACTACTACTACTACTACTACTACTACTACTACTACTACTACTACTACTACTACTACTACTACTACTACTACTACTACTACTACTACTACTACTACTACTACTACTACTACTACTACTACTACTACTACTACTACTACTACTACTACTACTACTACTACTACTACTACTACTACTACTACTACTACTACTACTACTACTACTACTACTACTACTACTACTACTACTACTACTACTACTACTACTACTACTACTACTACTACTACTACTACTACTACTACTACTACTACTACTACTACTACTACTACTACTACTACTACTACTACTACTACTACTACTACTACTACTACTACTACTACTACTACTACTACTACTACTACTACTACTACTACTACTACTACTACTACTACTACTACTACTACTACTACTACTACTACTACTACTACTACTACTACTACTACTACTACTACTACTACTACTACTACTACTACTACTACTACTACTACTACTACTACTACTACTACTACTACTACTACTACTACTACTACTACTACTACTACTACTACTACTACTACTACTACTACTACTACTACTACTACTACTACTACTACTACTACTACTACTACTACTACTACTACTACTACTACTACTACTACTACTACTACTACTACTACTACTACTACTACTACTACTACTACTACTACTACTACTACTACTACTACTACTACTACTACTACTACTACTACTACTACTACTACTACTACTACTACTACTACTACTACTACTACTACTACTACTACTACTACTACTACTACTACTACTACTACTACTACTACTACTACTACTACTACTACTACTACTACTACTACTACTACTACTACTACTACTACTACTACTACTACTACTACTACTACTACTACTACTACTACTACTACTACTACTACTACTACTACTACTACTACTACTACTACTACTACTACTACTACTACTACTACTACTACTACTACTACTACTACTACTACTACTACTACTACTACTACTACTACTACTACTACTACTACTACTACTACTACTACTACTACTACTACTACTACTACTACTACTACTACTACTACTACTACTACTACTACTACTACTACTACTACTACTACTACTACTACTACTACTACTACTACTACTACTACTACTACTACTACTACTACTACTACTACTACTACTACTACTACTACTACTACTACTACTACTACTACTACTACTACTACTACTACTACTACTACTACTACTACTACTACTACTACTACTACTACTACTACTACTACTACTACTACTACTACTACTACTACTACTACTACTACTACTACTACTACTACTACTACTACTACTACTACTACTACTACTACTACTACTACTACTACTACTACTACTACTACTACTACTACTACTACTACTACTACTACTACTACTACTACTACTACTACTACTACTACTACTACTACTACTACTACTACTACTACTACTACTACTACTACTACTACTACTACTACTACTACTACTACTACTACTACTACTACTACTACTACTACTACTACTACTACTACTACTACTACTACTACTACTACTACTACTACTACTACTACTACTACTACTACTACTACTACTACTACTACTACTACTACTACTACTACTACTACTACTACTACTACTACTACTACTACTACTACTACTACTACTACTACTACTACTACTACTACTACTACTACTACTACTACTACTACTACTACTACTACTACTACTACTACTACTACTACTACTACTACTACTACTACTACTACTACTACTACTACTACTACTACTACTACTACTACTACTACTACTACTACTACTACTACTACTACTACTACTACTACTACTACTACTACTACTACTACTACTACTACTACTACTACTACTACTACTACTACTACTACTACTACTACTACTACTACTACTACTACTACTACTACTACTACTACTACTACTACTACTACTACTACTACTACTACTACTACTACTACTACTACTACTACTACTACTACTACTACTACTACTACTACTACTACTACTACTACTACTACTACTACTACTACTACTACTACTACTACTACTACTACTACTACTACTACTACTACTACTACTACTACTACTACTACTACTACTACTACTACTACTACTACTACTACTACTACTACTACTACTACTACTACTACTACTACTACTACTACTACTACTACTACTACTACTACTACTACTACTACTACTACTACTACTACTACTACTACTACTACTACTACTACTACTACTACTACTACTACTACTACTACTACTACTACTACTACTACTACTACTACTACTACTACTACTACTACTACTACTACTACTACTACTACTACTACTACTACTACTACTACTACTACTACTACTACTACTACTACTACTACTACTACTACTACTACTACTACTACTACTACTACTACTACTACTACTACTACTACTACTACTACTACTACTACTACTACTACTACTACTACTACTACTACTACTACTACTACTACTACTACTACTACTACTACTACTACTACTACTACTACTACTACTACTACTACTACTACTACTACTACTACTACTACTACTACTACTACTACTACTACTACTACTACTACTACTACTACTACTACTACTACTACTACTACTACTACTACTACTACTACTACTACTACTACTACTACTACTACTACTACTACTACTACTACTACTACTACTACTACTACTACTACTACTACTACTACTACTACTACTACTACTACTACTACTACTACTACTACTACTACTACTACTACTACTACTACTACTACTACTACTACTACTACTACTACTACTACTACTACTACTACTACTACTACTACTACTACTACTACTACTACTACTACTACTACTACTACTACTACTACTACTACTACTACTACTACTACTACTACTACTACTACTACTACTACTACTACTACTACTACTACTACTACTACTACTACTACTACTACTACTACTACTACTACTACTACTACTACTACTACTACTACTACTACTACTACTACTACTACTACTACTACTACTACTACTACTACTACTACTACTACTACTACTACTACTACTACTACTACTACTACTACTACTACTACTACTACTACTACTACTACTACTACTTGTATGAGGTGATTGTAATCGATCAAAATGTAGATGTAAATTCGAGTGTATAATTCAAAGCAAATTCTTTTAAACTGTCTATAGAATATTTCCGTTCAAAATAGACTGTTGTAAAGGCATCTTACTCTCTTAATTAAGTAATAATGTAATTAATTATTTAACATTCTAACTGTTAATTACTTTAATTCGATTATTCGAGTATATGGATTTTATTCCTTAAAAGGTAATAGTAACATTTTGAATATTCGCATATCAGAGAAGGGTTTTATAGAGATTATAGTAATTTAGTATATGAATTCATGAGTCATTTGAAGCTAGACCATCATGGAAAACCTGAAAGCACTGGATGGCCATTTCGTCTTATTAAAAGACTCCACAGCAGTACACATCCACGACCCCGCCTCACGAGATTCGAAACCAGGACCTATCAGACGACTGAGCCGGCATCCAATGGTGTTAATGTCTAACTCTAACCAATCTACGAATTTGCACCACCGTCCATCATCATTATCAGTGTAATATTGATAGATTTCAGGTTTGAATCTTGAGATTCGGGATCGTGGATACGCATTGCTGAGAAGTCTCATACTAGAACAAAACCACCCAGTGCTTCTAAATTTTCCATGATGATCTAGCTTCAATAGACACATAAATTGAATTATTAAAATTACTACACTCTTCACAAAACCCTTCTCTTATTATAAAACTTGTGATGTTAGATATGTGAAAAAGTATTAAATTCAAGTTATATACATTCATTGAACTATACAATAGATTATATACGTTTAAACCACAATGAGATTTTACATTACACCATTGTATATGTATATATAGATAATAAAAGATTACACTTAAAGTAAAGCTGTACTCAATCCATGTCTGTTGAATTGAAAATTCAAAAAAAAAACTACTTTCCCAGGAATGATTGGTTTCCTAGACATTTGTAATTTTAACTGATCATCCTATGTGCTCCTAAAATAGAATAATAATACAAAAGGAGATTTTTTAAAACACACACACACACACACCTAAAATTAATCAATACATGAAGTTTCATTTACTACAATCACATTATCATTCTTCATTATTGAGTTGAATAGAAGATGATGAAAGGAGGTTTATAGTTGCTTACTGGATTAATAAGTTAGTAATTAAAATGAAATGTAACTAACCGAAATTTATTGGATCAAATATATCATGTGGTTATAAATATGTTTCGGTTTTGATGAAGTTTTGTTCTCTTAGCTGGATGGTTTCGTCGTGGAGTTTTCATCGTTTTCGTCTTTTGTATATTATCGAATCAATAAGTATTCACAATTGATTGATCACTGGGTGGTGATCAATATCATGTTTGAGCACCAGTTCCCTCAAGATTACAGGTACACCTTGCTGACGAGTGCCAAGTAGCATGAAACCCGGGTCCAGGGTTTCCTGTCGACTACCTCCAACCACCATCTAATGAATAAGTATCTACGTTTACAAGTCAAACCACTGTGTCTGAAAAATATTTATGCTAATCGTTAATCTACTATTATCATTGATGTTGTCGGTTACTATGTTAAGTCCACATAACTTATTACAGCTTCTGGACAGGTCAATCTATTCATTCCACTTAATTCACATGTTGACCTTGTTAATTACTTGCATATCAATCTTGACTGTTTTTATATGAGTGTGTATGTGTGTGCCCTTCTTATACTATTCATCACATGTCTCTAACTTATTTTTATCTGGCTATAAATATTGATTAACGCTTGATTTAATGGACTTGATTTACATGACTACTCCACCGTGCGTCATTTCGCTCCACTCTTTTCTCTTAGCTTCTCCGATTTTTTGTCTGGATCCACGATTGTATGAAATATACAATCAATATAACAATTAATCATATGATATTACTAGAGTCAGATAAAGGGTCACAAAAATTGGTGAGCCTATCAACAACATCGTCCGATATCAATGATGTCTAAATGAAGGGCTCCACAATGCAGAGCTGATTAGAACTGAACTTATGTTTTGTTTTCTTTTCAGTTCTAATTCTCTTTTGTTGTTGTTATATTGGTACATAATTTTATTATTTGTTAGTTTGCTCTTAGTGAACAATGGGTTCGATTCCCAGAGTGAACATTATTTCTGAGATGCAGGCACATCCAGCTGACGAGTCCAATATAGGACCAAACGCCCGTTCCAGATTCTACTACTAGCCACCATCCATCTTTACTTATAAAGCTTGCGACCCAAGACAATATAGAGGCAGTCCGCACACGATGCAAATATGCCAATAAGAGATTGATCAGTTGCAGTCTTAAACATCAATGAGAAGATACAAGCAAACAATACCAAGTGAACAGTTTTAATATTTGACTTTTTTTCAAAAGAATGATTTGTTAATTCTCTTATTTAATATCATGTAATCTGTTAACTCATGATCTGCACATTTCAATTACCTTATTCATAATTAATTTAAATGTTGTGTTTGTAAAAGAATTTAGTTCAGTGAAGAAATCATTCACATAATGAGTTCATTCCCCCAAATCCCCTGGTATGGACGAAAATGGGGAGAGTTCGCTCTCCCACTCGAAATACTCTCACATGGCCACGAGTATACAGCCACTACCAGGAAGTCCTACTCACTGCCTTCTCGTGGCATTATTGTAGTTTACGAAATTGAGAGGACGAAAAGCGAATGTCCGGCGCTTTAACCGGGTTGGTAGATATGGAAGATTCACCTAGATGAGTTGAAAAACCCAAAGGTGGACATGGGCTCCAAGATTCTGAAGGAACAAATGGCGTATGAACCAATTATTGGCCATCGGCTACCATAGAACTGATTCTTCTTACGTTGCTCCACTGTCTTGTGAACTAGACCTTGAAGTTAAAGGCTTCGGGTGTGGCCCCTTAAGAGACTCACCTGCGTCATCTGAGCACCCAGGCAGTATCACAACCCACACAAAAATCAAGTGACTTATGTGCCTCTTTGTAGCAATATTTATGTGTTCAAACAAAATAAATAAATGACGTCGATGAATATGATTGCGTATAAGTCAAGTAATAATTTAATATCCATAAGAATTTGATTAGTTGTTTTATGAAATTTAACTACATAATTTAAATTATTCAGTATTATATTCACAATTATCTGGGAAATCGTAATGACATTATTTGATACAGCCATTTGAATCATCATGATGGACATTCCAATCAGAAGCGTCAGAGGGATTTCAAGGTCACGGTGCCAATTTCATTACCAGATGCTCATGTACAATCGGTTCACAGAAAATTATAGAGGAAACGTTATAACTGAGCGGTTACAAGAAATGAGACTACTAAGAACTTCTTTTATATGTGATTGTGGTAATCAAATGACTTGTAGACTTTGTGCAGACTACCTTAGTGATGTTGTCTTTCTATGTAATATGTGTTGGAGGACGAAGTCTGTTAGTATAGGATTTCTTTCGCTCGATCTAGACTGACACTGACAAACTATGACTGGATAAAGTAAACTGGATAAGAAAGCATCAGTAACACTGGCTAGAGTAAGGTACTACAATATATACAGATGGTTGGAAAGTATACAGATGCCTGTATACACTTAGTTATATGCATCGTGTCGTTATACACAAGCAGCATTTTGTAGACCCAACAACCGGAGTGAACACAAACAATATTGGGGCTATATCGTCGGGGCTGAAATGGTTTTTGACACCTTGTCATGACTCCAGAGGCCGACTATTATGAAGCCATATGGATGATTTCCTCTATCGTATGCGTTACGGTTTTAGAACCTCTGAACCTCTTTCTAACCTTGACAAGTTTTCGAACCATGTAAAATAAGTGTGTCCACTTTAATTCTTTGGTTTTGTATACTGACTGTTTGCTGATTGACTAATTTATCTCAAGGTCACTAAAGATTCGTTCAAAGGTCGTTCATAAATCAGAGTCTCGTCGAAAAACCTTCCAGCTCAGAGAACAAAACTTTATTAAAATCATCCAGCTGAGTTACAAATCTTCATCATCATCTTAGAAATACCTTGGTATACATAGAAATTTGATCAGATTATTCGAAAATAATAGTATTCATGTTGATAAAATTCTTATAGATCAACTTACGTCTTCTATATAAAAATAGTGGAAAAGCAATGCATACAACTGTAGCTATCAATAGAAATGGTAATAAAAGTGAGATAGTGAAACGACGCATCACCAAATCAACATCAACATTTCGACCAGATTGTAATAATTGCAGTTCATAACTGATTAATGAAAATCTATTTGGTAATAATGGATTGTTTACAGTTTGTTCTGTTATTACCTCTGTAGAATATGTACTTTCATTGTTGGAGACTTCTATACCCTTGTTGATTGGTTTATTCGAATTCATATCAGATGGTTCAGTATGGTTTAAACAAACAAAACAAAATGATGATTGTTTATTAGTATTAGTATTATTACTGTTGGACTTACTAAGTTAGTAAACATCTTAACATATGAATGAGTAGTTATGTCTTAATGCATTAGGCCAACTTTGTCGATTACTGATAGGTCCTGGGTTCAAATCCCGCGAGGTGGGGTCGTATAATGCGTACTGCTGAGGAGTCCCACAGTAGGACGAAACGGCCATACAGTGCTTCCAGATTTTCCATGATGGTCTAACTTCAATAGACTCATGATTTCAACTATTGAAATTACTACAATCACCACAAAAACCCTTTCTGATACTGATTACTTGATCTATAAAAAATTCCATCCTATTTTAGGTGCTTGAATACATTCATTTACAATCTTCAAAAATTTTGGTAAACGTTAGTTTGATTTTAATACGTGAGTACTGTGGAAACATACATGTATATATATATGTCAGCTAACCATGTTTAGTTAATTATTGTTTTTACATTTTTTACAATGCAATAATCAAAAGTAGTTATCATTGTATGTTATGAATGAACAATGATTTTGATAGAGTTTTGTTCTTTGAGTTGGATGGTTTGGTCGTGGAGCTTTCATCGTTCTTC